ATCCACGGACCCGGTGGAGACGCCGTGCTCCAACAGTAGTAATGAAGAACATTACTATGTTGTTTTTGATGTAAAGTGTTTTATCCTATAATTAAGATTCAAATTAGTTTAAGCGTGTACATAAAGTCTGATTAGATTTACAATGATCGAATGACAAAATGACTGAAGCGGAACTAAGAAGCGAATCGTCGTTTCCCTTTAGGAGCGGCGGACCGTTTTTGCGATAACCATTTCCAAGATGGCGGACCAAGAGGAAGCTGTGAGGGAATTTGTTGCGGTGACTGATGTAGATGAAGAGAGGGCCCGCTTCTTTTTAGAGTCTGCAGGCTGGGATTTGCAGGTACGGCATTTAATGTGCGAGAGAACAGTAGGACACTGAATGCACGAAGACGTTGTTTGGATGCCAGGAAAATACGATTTACTGTATCCTGCTTTATTTTGCTTTGTAACTCGCTAATGTTACCTGTCATTGTTGCAGCACTGGAGTGTTTGATATCTTCGGTTAAACGTTATAGATATTCTACTTGTTTTATTTTTATAAACATTAACGATTGTAGTTTACCTTTGTGTCACTGATGACTAAAGTGCAAGTCACAGGTATACCGATTAAAAATAGGTAACTATTTTAATCGTCACTAGTTATGCGGGAAACGAAACTGACAATAAGCCAAGCATGCCGTTTAACGCGTTTAATATATGTATTAGTCAACAAAAAATATGAAACTAACTACAAGGACTAGATAAATAAGAGGTGTGTTTATTCTTGTGTAGCAACAGTAGTTCGAGTAGCCAGTTATTCAAATGATTAAGTTTACCGACAGTGAAAAATGGCAGCAACGGAAAATGACAAGGGCAAGCAAGGCATGGATACAGTTTTAAGGACAGTCACTCATGTTTTCCATTACAGTTTCTGAAAACTTTATACGATCAGAGTCGGGAAGGTATTTCACATTTAAGTATGCTCCTTCTTAGCGCTGTTTTAGTTCTTTAAATAGACTCAAAAGTCGTTGTATATACGATTGATAAATTTCAATAATAGTAATGACAATAATGCTGATGATGATGATGATGATAATTTTGGATTCTTATATTGTGAACCGCTGCCATTTAAGACTGTTGTGCGTCTGTCTTTAATTTTTCTGTGCTGTGTACGGCGGTTTGTTTACCACATGAAGATGCTTTTATTTTCCCTAGCATATTACTGCTAATTTCGTCAATTTTATCTCACAATCTGATAATCTTAACAGCACGTCCGAGGACTTTAGGGTGCTGATTGCATCTCTGTCCCCCTTTTAGCTCGCTTTGGGCAGTTTTTATGAGGATGGTGCTGAGGATGACATTGTAACCTTACCGCAGCCAGATGGGGGATCTGTTTCTCGCTCTGCAGGACCAAGGTTCACCCTCTGCTTACACTGTTTTTTCTTTAAAATAAGGATTTGTATGTTCATCAGTTCAAATTGTAGTACAAAATACAAACAACTTCTGCTAACTGCATGTACAGTGGTTTGGTTATTATGTTTGCAGATTATTGTAATAGCGTTATACTTTAGCAATTTTTGTTGCTGGTAAGTTTCATCACACCCCTCACCCCTTGTCAGTGAACACAGAGTAACCTCCTTCAGAGATCTGATGCACACCGAGGAAGAGGAGAGTGATGAAGAGGAAGGACAGAGGTGAGCCACAACAAAATCAATACTAGCGTTTGTCTCTCTCTGACCTCGACTGTGTTTCCAATTCTTCAGCTTGGTCTCTGTATACCTTAAGCTAACAATGCTTTTCGCAATTTTATAAATATGTTTAATATATGGCTGACATAAATTATAAACCTATCCAATCCAACGTTGTGCTTTTAGGACAGAAAGATAAGTGACAGTGGTGAGTAGTAATGCACACATTTAACTAGTAAAGTACTAATTAACAGGAAATTGCTATAAAACATCATGGTGGAAGGAGAATTGTGTTGTTAATTTCAGCTAGAGGACAAAACGGCAGACTCCACATAAGTGGTTGTCTCTCTATGAGCTCTATTCATTCCTGCCCACCTTCTGCACACTGGGAGAGTTTGGCTCTACTGGCAAGGGAGGAAAATCAGATAAAATTGGCCACATGATTGACTGTGCTACTACACACACACACACAATTTAAAGCATCCCATTGTGGATTTCCATTTTGTTTTCATTGAAAAAAAAAACACAGAAACAGAAAAGTGGAACAGTGGCATCAGCTTACTTCAGAACTGTTCTGTTCCTGTAATGACTCTACATTTTCAATGCTCATCTCGCTTGCTGCCCCCTAAATGGCTTCTTAGTCTACATTTTTCTTGCTCACTGTGCAGAGTCCATGTATTCATATCTTTATGGAGACTCTCCATTCATTTTTTATGGGCATAACCCTAATTCCAGCTCTGACGACCTTAACCCCTACCCAGCCCTAATCTTACCCATAAGTAACCAAACAAATTACTAGACTTTCGGCATTTTCAGTTTTTTGATTGCATTAAAATATTGATGTTATCCTTGTGGGGACCGGAAAAAAGAATATCCCCACAAGTTAAAAAGTTACTCGTTTTTATCACATTGTAGAGAAATCTGGTCCCCACAATGTAATAATTGCAAAAATACACACACTCTCATGGCCCCTTATTAGGGTTATTATAGCTGATATTCTTTGACAAATGTTTTGACTGGATACAGCAGAGGTTCCTAAAAGGGGTCATCTGTCTATGACCAAAATCCAAAATACCATTACATAACCGTTACATATTATTGGTATAAAAAGATAAACACAAAGAACCAAAATTTGAAGTATACAAACAATATTTATTCTTCAGTAAAGTATTTTCTTTTTAAAAATTGGATTTAATTTTATAATTTGTATTGCTCTTGAATACAATTAATGCTCCCCTTTACAACCCCCTACTTCATCTTTCAGAAAACAAAACAGATACAGTGGAACATCTGACATAACAATGAAAATACTATTTAATTCAAGACAAAACTTTGACAGCATCAAATAATATTATCATTGTGTAAGTTTCTTCACGTTCCATCCCACCCCTACTAATAGCTGAACTCTCCAACTGTATGTTTAACTGCTATTGACATTATCAGTAAGACACACAAACATACACAGTTAATATACCCTTGACACTAACTTAACCCCGAACTTCCACCATCAAAGCATTGTCTCTTGAAGTTCTCCTCTTTTAAACGGAAAACCTCTTGCCTTGTCCTTAAGCTGAGGGTGCCTTGTTTTGAAGTTGTTGATCTAATTTTGCTCATTTTAAAACTCTTTACTTAGTACCTCTCCACACAGAACACATTGAAGATGTTACAATGAAACCAGCTGAAATAAATTTTATATTTCTTTATATTTACATTTGGACGACTATTAAACACTAGCTATTCTGACTGTTTACACACATTGAATTAAAATGAGGACTTGAAACAGACCACTCTGATTGGATAGAAAGTATCCAATACGATGAGGTTTCAACATGACAATGACAAATTGACCAATCATTGACGCGTTCACAGGCTTGTTGACAGGAAGAGAAGTGTTGGTTAACGGGTGCGTGGAAAGACCCACCACACCGTATATACTGATATATTGTTAATTAGATTTCTTATGGTCAATCAGTAAATCCCATAGTTTGAGAACCCCTGAGATACAGTAATTCTGTTGTCTGAGGAACACCTTTGGAGTCTGAGCTCTGTCACTATCTGCCTTAAGGTTCTATGCAGGAGGCTCGGAGCGCAGCGGCCAGCAGATTGTGGGTCCCCCCAGGAAGCGGAGCCCCAATGAGGTGGTGGAGGAGCTGTTTAAGGGAGCCAAGGAGCATGGTGCTGTGCCGGTGGACCGCCCTGGCCGGGGCCCCGGGGAGTCCAGCAGGGCACAGGTTCGAGGGCTATTTACTGTACTAACTTTATGGACTGGCTTAATTGATTTTAAACACCCGTTTGCTGTTGATCTCAGTAGGCTCCTTGTTAAGTCTGTATTACAGTGATGTCAGACCATTGGGCTCACATGCCCTCAGACGGGATATTGAGTGCCATGTTCTGACTGTGTGGACCCTGGAGGAGTAGGTCAGCATTTTCACCATGATCGCTTTTTCTTGTGCTCCTCTGGCTGACTGGCATACAGGCCTTTGTTGGGGGTGGCTATCGGCTGGGGACAGCGCCTGAGGAGCAGTCTGCTTATGTGGCTGGAGAGAGACGGCCCTCTGACAGCACACAGGACGTGAGACTTTTTCCTTTACATAAGAACATAAGAAATTTACAAACGAGAGGAGACCATTCGGCCCAACAAACTCGTTTGGGGAGAACTTAACTAATAGCTCAGAGTTGTTAAAATCTTATCTAGCTCTAATTTAAAGGAACCCATGGTTTTAGCTTCCGCTACACTAGCAGGAAGACTATTCCATACTCTGACTACACGCTGTGTAAAGAAGTGCTTTCTCACATTCATTTTAAAATGTTCTCCCGCTAATTTCCGCTTATGGCCACGAGTTCTAGTATTTAAACTAATATTGAAATAGCCATTTGGCTGAATGGCATCCAGACCTGTTAGAATCTTATATACCTGGATCATGTCCCCCCTTAGTCTCCTTTGCTCGAGGCTAAACAGATTCAGCTCAGCTAACATCTCCTCATAAGACATTCCTCTAAGACCAGGAATCATTCTTGTAGCCCTACGTTGCACCCTTTCCAAGGCAGCAATGTCCTCCTTAAGGTATGGTGACCAAACCTACACACAATATTCTAGGTGGGGTCTTACCAAGGAATTGTATAATTGTAGCATCACCTCCCTTGACTTAAACTCTACATACCTAGAGATGTAACCCAACATCCTATTGGCCTTTTTATGGCTTCCCCACACTGGTGAGAGTGGGACATGGAAGCATCAACATACACACCGAGGTCTTTCTCATAATCAGCTACCTTTATTTCAGTGGAGCCCATAAAATATCTGTACTTTATATTTCTGCTCCCTGTATGGATTCCCTTACATTTATCTATGTTAGATTTCATCTGCCAGGTATCAGCCCAGTCACTAATTAAATCAAGATCCCGTTGTAGCCTCTGTGCTGCTAGATCAGTATCTGCTACACCACCCACCTTGGTGTCGTCTGCAAATTTAACCAGTTTACTGTATGTATTGGTGTCAATATCAATGTAAATTGGAACAATAGTGGTCCTAAAATGGAACCCTGCAGTACCCCACTATGAACGCAGGTCCACTGCGACATTGTGCCTTTGCTTCCTCACGGACTCTTAGTTGTAGTTCCTTCCAGGTTTGTTTTCTGTTCTTGCAGAACCTAAAACCTGTGTAAACACAAGTCTTTTGTCAGATGTTTCTATTTTGAGGGGCGACATGGTGCAGTGGATCCCACTGCTGCCTCATACCTCTAGAACCAGGGTTTGAGTCTCTGCCTTGGCTCCTTGTGTGTGGAGTTTCCATGATCTTCCCGTGTTGTGTTGGGGTTCCCTCTGGGTCCTCTGGTTTCCCAGCACAGTTGAAAAACATGCTAAGATAAATTTGAGTTGCCGGATTTCCCATAGGTGTGCATGTGTGAGTGAATGGTGTGTGAGTGTGCCCTGTGATGGGTTGGGATAGGCTCCAGACCCCTTGCGATCCTGCATAGGACATGCAGTTACAAATGATGGATGGATGGGTGTCTGTTTTTAAGAAATTCACATTGTGCATGCCCTTTAGATGTAATAGGGGAAGTTTGTTTCTTAACTTCCTTAATTTTGAGTTTGAAATATTCCTTTGAAATGTTTCAGGGAGTTTTTCAGGATTACGGTTAAAGCACTAGGTACTGTTTTCATATATAGGTGGCACAGATGCTCAGTGGGCAGCACGTTTGCCTCGCATCAACAGCATAGAAGGGTTTGGATTTGACTTCTTCCAGTGTGTAACATAGCCCCGCGCTGCCTGGCATAGGCTCCATGTCCCCCTACGGCTCTGACCAGGATAAGCGCTTGGAGGCTAGATGGATGTTTTCTCTTGGAGGTCACTGTTAGGGAAGGTAATGTAATGTGGATCTGTGTCTGGATGCAGGTGCATGTGGTGCTGAAGCTGTGGAAAACTGGGTTCAGCCTGGATGACGGGGACCTCAGGAACTACTCTGATCCCAGCAACGCTCTCTTTCTGGAGTCCATTCGCAGGGGGTAAGGCTGTAGCTCTGGAGAGGGCCACAGTGTTTTTTTCCCTTTTCTTTACTCTTTACTTTCATAGGCCTAGTGGCAAGTGTGTAGCTCTCTGACCAGCCTTGAGGACACATGGTGCTGTCCAGGACTGACCACTGGCAACATGCAGTTGCTCCGATAGACCACTAGATGGCGAACATGTTTTACTTCCTGCTTTTAGGGAGATTCCTCTTGAGCTGAGGCAGCGGTCCAGAGGTGGCCAGGTCAACTTGGATATGGAGGACCACAGAGATGAGGACTTCTCCAAGCCCAAGGTAGCCTTCAAGGCCTTTGCAGGTGAAGGCCAGAAACTGGGCAGGTGAGTGAGCAATTTTGTACTGTGATTTGTGTTTATGAACTCAAAAGCTTTCCTTTTAATATGTATTTTAAGGAAAGTAATTCTCAGTAACCCAACAGTTGCAGAGGACAGTGTTGTTCTGTCATTCTAATAATAATAATAATAATTATAATAATTGGTACTGGAGCTGGGGGTTAAGGACTTTGCTCAAGGACCCGCGAATGTGCTGAAATGTATGACATAACGCATCTTGTAGAGCAATAGTAATAAAGTGCAAGTAAACATGCTAACAGACTTGGAAAAAATCATTCCAAAGAACCAGAAATGGCAGACAGGCGGTGTAATGAGTCTCACATTGGTTTCCTCCCTTTCCTTGGGCCCAGTGCAACCCCTGAGCTGGTGTCAGCCCCTGCAGCGATGGGCGGGCAGCGGGACCAGGAGGTTACGGAGGCCGAGGCCAGCGCCTCCGTGGCCCTCGACTCTGCTCAGCCAGTGACCAGCATTCAGATCCGGCTGGCTGATGGAGGCCGGCTGGTGCAGAAGTTCAATCACACACACAGGTGAGCTCTGCCCAGCCAGCCCTCCCTCCTGCCCGCCTGCATGCTTGTCTTGCCTTCTGCTGCTGGTTTGATCACCTCAAATGCCCCCCCCCCCCCGGCTGGGTGCTGTGACCTCAGTTTGCTCAGAGCTTGTGTGAGCAAAAGGTGTTCTTTATAAGAAGGTTGCATTTAAAAAAGATTTTGGCCCGAAATATTAAAATAACAAATAACATGAATCCTTATGCTTTATTACATTGGCTACCTCCCAAAACAGGAAATGGATCATATTAATCCAGTTTGCCATGCATCTCTCTCTCCCTCTTTATCCCATATCTCCTTCCATCTCTCCATCTCTTTTTCCCTTTCTCTTTCTCCCTCTCACTCTCCCTCCCTACCCCTCTTTCTCCCTATATGTCACTCTCCCACCCCCATCCATACTGCACCTGTCCCTTGCTGCTCCCAGGGTGTCTGACGTGCGCCAGTTTGTGGTGGGGGCGCGTCCAGCCATGGCAGCCCAGGAGTTTGTTCTCATGACTACCTTCCCCAACAAGGAGCTCATGGACGAAAGCCAAACGCTGCGAGAGGCCAACCTGCTGAACGCTGTCATCGTACAGAGGTTGAAGTGACCCCGGCACCACGCAAGGACTGGAGCTTTTATAGTTTTTGTTTAGTGACATATTTTCCCTCCGGAAGTGTCTGACCTCCACATCAGGGAGCGGCAGTGCTGTCCGTTACTGGCCTTCAGTGGTGAGGGGGAGTATGAGGAAGGAAGCTGGGTTTGATTTAACAGACTGCTCTGCAGTAATAAGGGAATAAAATCATTTTTAGGAAAATAACGCCCTGACTTCAAGGCTTATTCTGCAGTTTTCCATAGTTTTTGCTGTTCTTTGACTGATAATATGCTGCCCTCCCCACACACTACTACTGTCACTGAAGTGCGATGTCCAGCACAGACCAATTGCAGACGAACCCCCACTCCACAGGAAGTGGAGGTTTATCTTCTTAAATCTGCTGCAAACATGCGATCAAATTAACCTTTTAGAAGAATTGTCTGTCCTCAGGTGTGGGCTGAAAAAATTCCACATGATGGATGAATAGAGTGTTTCCCTCCTAAAAATGCCCACACAGCACCTTGAAATGTTAGTGTATAGTAACACAGTTTACATTGAAGAAGATTTACATAAGTGCATCTATAACCTTGGATCTGTAATCCTACTCACTGTGTTACTATTTGAGGTTGTGTATGAACTGGAAACCGATTAAAACCTGACTTTGTCTGATGTTCTGAGTTTTGAATTCTTTCACTCTTCTGTGTGCTGAAGTTGGTTGCGTGACTCATGTTTTAGCGTTCTTTCAAAATCATACGTGTGCTGCAGTGCACAAGGCTGTTTGCCATCTAATGTTCAAACTGTCACTGTATTTCTCAACGTTTTATGACGCTCGTGCCTTGCTAACATGCAAAGTTGGGAGCACTGTTGTCTCGCCCAGTTTTGTGGGTTTAAATTCCGCCGTCGCTCTTTGTACGTAGTTTGTATGTTGTGCTGCTTTCTTTTGGGTACTCCAGTTTAGGTGAATAGCCTCTATTTTGCCTGTAGTGTATGAGTTTGTGTGTGTCCTGCAATGGACTGACATTCCGCCTTGGATGGACCCTGCTTTGTCCCGTATGTGACCTGGGACAGGCTCCAGGCCCATATGAATATACCTTAGTAAAATGTCATTCATGTTAATGTTTTTTCCAAAAAAATTATGCCCACTTTTTCAGAAAAACATTATCCATACTGAGACTGGCAGAAATATAACTACGCATAAAAATGTCATTATTTTAAGTGCAACATATTTGATGTCACAGGTACATCTGAAAATCTGTAGAAGATTTTAAAGTTTTTCTGCCTTACACTAGAAAAAATTCAAAAATCTATAAATATCTTTCACTTAATCCTTTGAAATTTGCTTTAGTCTCTGAGTCAACAATACAAAGTTTTGTATTTTTATGTGAAATACCCAGAATAACACAAATCACAAAGCACAGAAAATATATATTATCAATTAAAAACTTAAAAAAAAGCCTGCCAAGATATTTGAAATGAACAAACTGGCTGAACTTCCATATGACAGAAAGAGAGAGAGAGAGAGAGAGAAATGACTCTTATGCAACACACATAGAGAACATGGGTTTTACTGTGCAACATAGTTGAACTATATAATGTTGTATGATTGCAATAATACAATCCATCACTTATACCTTAAGTGCAGTGCAATAAAACCGTACAGTGTAATTGTGCAATTTAATGTGAAGTGTTACCCAACCAACTATTGTATTATCAATTTATCCTATTCTTTTGCTGACAGCAGCATGAAATCACGAAAACAACACATTTCTCTTATTCTAGCAAGTCTTTCCTGCCTAGCAACTGGATCTTTTGTCTGTTCCATTCAGCCCTCTCCTTATTAGACAACATGCTTTGAAAAACTTAAAAATAAAACATAAAATGGTTTCAAATATCACTAAATATGAATATGTGATATAGTAAAAGTGAATTGCAGTGTTGTAAAATATAGGACAACAAAGCTACTGCCATTCAGCAGAATAGGTGGCATTGTGGTATAACATGAAACTGTTGTGCTGAATGACAAAAGTGTGATGCTTAAGGACGGATTTCATAAATAATCATATTTAACATGCAGTTCCTTGGTCACCTATATAATGTGATGACCTTGACATATTAAGATTATCCTAACTTAATACATAATATAAAATATACAAGTCAATAAATTAAATTAAGATCCCACTGTAGCTGCTGAGCCGCTAGTTCAGTATCTGCTACACCACCCACCTCGGTGTCATCTGCAAATTTCACCAGTTTACTGTATATATTGATATAGACACCAATATATACAGTAAACTGGTGAAATTTGCAGATGACACCAAGGTGGGTGGTGTAGCAGATACTGAACTAGCGGCTCAGCAGCTACAGCGGGATCTTAATTTAATTAGTGACTGGGCTGACACCTGGCAGATGAAATTTAACATAAACAAATGTAAGGTACTCCATGTAGGGAGCAGAAATATAAAGTACAGGTATTTTATGGGACCTACTGAAATAAAGGTAGCTGATTATGAGAAAGACCTTGGTGTGTATGTTGATGCTTCCATGTCTCATTCTCGCCAGTGCGGGGAAGCAGTAAAAAAGGCCAATAGGATGTTGGGGTATATCTCCAGGTGTGTGGAGTTTAAGTCAAGGGAGGTAATGCTAAGATTATACAATTCCTTGGTGAGACCTCACCTAGAATATTGTGTACAGGTTTGGTCACCATATCTTAAAAAGGACATAGCGGCCTTAGAAAAGGTGCAGCGTAGGGCCACAAGAATGATTCCTGGTCTTAGAGGAATGTCATACGAGGAAAGGTTATTTGAGCTAAATCTGTTCAGCCTCGAGCAAAGGAGACTGAGGGGGGACATGATCCAGGTCTATAAGATTCTAACAGGTTTGGATGCTGTTCAACCGAATAGTTACTTCAGCATTAGTTCAAATACAAGAACTCGTGGCCATAGGTGGAAATTAGCGGGAGAACATTTCAAACTGGATTTAAGGAAGCACTTCTTTACACAGCGTGTACTGTAGTCAGAGTATGGAATAGTCTTCCTGATAACGTAGTGCAAGCTGAATCCTTGGGTTCCTTTAAATCAGAGCTAGATAAGATTTTAACAACTCTGAGCTATTAGTTAAGTTCTCCCCAAGCGAGCTCGATGGGCCGAATGGCCTCCTCTCGTTTGTATAGTTCTTATGTTCTTATAATTAGGATCAGAAAATGAGAATAAGCCAACTTGTACATCCATGCACTAGCTCTAGTTTACTCAAGTTTAGTACAGGTTTCAAGATCCTGATACCTATAGGCACTGGGCAAGTGCCACCATATTTAACTGAATTTATGAATACTTACAAGCCCAGCAGTACTCTGCACAATATAAAGAAACAAAACTATTGTAGGTTTTAGAACCTTCTCCTACTGGCCCAACACTGTGAAATAGTTGCAAATGTGGTGCATCCATGGTCTTAGTCTTAAAATATTGACGTAGACCCATTTCTTTGGCCTAGTATACAATGCTAATGTTGTTGATGCTACATGTTGTGGCCCAGGTGCTGTTTGCATAGCTTTATTGTCACTGTATTAATTTCCTGGCCTTTCCACTCCTCTGCTTTCTACGGGCATCTGGTGCCTTAGTTCCACTATACTGAGCCTATGGGAGCTTAAAATAAAACCTTGGTCTTCACTGCAGTGTTTCCTTACCTCTTGATGGAAAGCCTTAGTTAGGAAGAGCAATGGAGAACTGGAACAGATAGCAGTAGACTGGAACTAAACAGCTTGGTCATCTAATTGCAATTGTATGGTTTGTCAGTCAATCGACCGTTGACCCTCAGAGGTTTTTTTCCATGGGTGTTTCTCAATACCAAGAACGCAAACACCATACTTGTGGTCTTGGCAAAATTGGTCTTGCTAACTTGCCTTCTAAAAACAAACTCGGGACGCAATGAATCATGGGATTGGTCTCGTTTGGTGAGGATGTATCTGATGTATCCAAGTGGGATGGGGCAAGACGACATCACGGGATTTTATTACCGTCCTCTGTACTTCTGTCCTGGAGTATTGGAACTGGTCTTCAGCAATGGAAGATGACGTAAAACACAAGTACGGTCAATTGTGTCATTACCAATATTGAGAAAACCCTCATATCTAAATAGCCTTATCTAAGAAGTTTTAACCCAGATCCTGATGGAACATTAATAAAAAGAAGTACTTCAGATAAAATTGTCCATTGAGTTAAAGTTTTCTTCACAACCGTCATAGAATTATATTATCCAATCAGCACTGCTCCCCGGGCGCTGAATAAGATGCCCCCTGCTATGTCACGATGTCACATATGGGTTAAATGCAGAGGACACATTTCCTTGTTGTGCATTGTGTGCTGTGGTGTGTCAGCAATGACCACTAATCGCTAAATTCCCCATGCTTGCCTGCGCTATTCGTTAATAGCAGTGCAAAGATGCACATAACTAAAACATAAAGTATAAGCGGCGCTCAGCTCCACAGCTATTGGAACAACGAAGGCAGGCGTACGCCTACGTTTTGGAGGCACGCCTCACACCATACACTTTTGCTTTTAGTCGCTAAAAGTTATTCAGTAATCAAGAGGACATGGCTCAGGACTCGGTGGATACTTCAGCTGCAATAACAGCGGAAGAGTTGAAAAAGTGCATCGCCGAAGGCACGGATTGCAATGCGTCTCCCGTAAGATTAAAAATTTTTATGCAAGATACCGGGTCGATTTGTAAAAGATGCGATAAGGGAACAGAAGTAATGTTATCTTGTGAAAATATTTAATAGCTGTCTTGTATGTGTCTGCGTTTAACAAAACAGTTATCAGTAAGGTAATTTAGTATTTGCAGTTGACAATAAAATGTCACTCAGTATAGCGCACCGTCTTGGACTATAACCGTTAATTATTCAGGTGGAAGTGTAAAAGCAGGGTAGCTCAGCTGCGCACCTCCACGATTGAGGGTTAGAATCCCACCTCCTCTGTGTGTGCCTGTATACAGGTTGTAATGTGACGCCCCATTAGCTATCATGCTTATTTTGCAATCCTAGTAGAATTCGAGTTTATTTGAATACCAGCCGTCCCCTGGGAGGGTCTTAGAATGTTTCATGTTCAAACTTTAACTTACCAACTTGGAGTTCCAGGGCAGTATGGTGTCCGTTAAATAATACATGCATCCATTCCTCGGCTTCTGTACTTTGTGCCCAGTACAGGTCTTAGTAAAAAAAATGTAGGAAGTTTGCCTTCATTAATTGCAGAAGCCGTCAGGATTACCTCTGTCCAGGAAAATATGTTATGCGGTTGGAGGTGCCCCATATCAGATGACAATCAACACTAAGGGTTTCTTTTTGCAAATTTTTCTGCTGGATGTCGTTCAGGTGAGCACTACTCCTCAGTGACACAGCAACTTCATTTGTCTTGTAAGCTGATGCACTTGTGAGCTTTGGGGAATTGGTGTGATGTTTGTCTCTGACACATTTTCTGACCCAAAGTGCATATTAGTGCAAGATACATTTCCCAAATGGTATAACTTACAGAATTTGCAATGTTTACCTGTTTCTATAATTTTTGCAGCCTCTATTGCTCCTTTCACTCATCTTTCACGTTTTTCCTTTTACAGGGTCTTGGTGAGTGAAATAGTGCTTTTGAATGTTAAAAAAAACATAATAGTAACTTGATGACCTTAGTAAGATTTCAATAAGAGTAAAAAGAGAAGGAAGTGATGGTTTTGTGGCACTTTGTGAAACTTGTTCTTCAAATCTATGGCAATCAGTCTGTTGGAGTGTGATAGCAGAGTACTGTGCAACAGATCTTGTCTAAAATGGGGTTTGCATTGTCCCATGATATGAGGTTATCTAACTGTAAAGATGGACAAATATTCATTTATTGCTACATATAAAAAACAACAATTTTATTGGCATTCACGTTGTTGGGTAAAGCTAAAAAAAATGGATTCCACATGCTTTTCATATTCAGATATTTTGGGTCTCATCTCCAGATGGGGGCATTCTCCACCTCTATGATCCTGTTCCTTGGTCGAGCCTGGGATGCCATTTCTGACCCCCTGGTGGGATACATTGTCAGCAAAAGTCACAAGACTCGTATTGGAAAACTTATTCCCTGGTAAATGACCTGCCATTTCTTCCATTTTTATAACCTTCTCCTTCTCCTCCCACCCACATCTGATATAAACAAACACATATATAAAGTAAACATAAATAATTGTGTATATTTTATGTATAAGATATCACTTTCATATTATCCTCTGTTGCTTTTTGCTGGAACAAATTTTCAACAATGTATGGAATCTACCTGATTGACTGCAATTTTGCACAGAACCTTCTCAATACTGTAATCACTGTTGCACTTTGCATCACTGTGTCCTTGTTCAACTGCCCAGTGTACCTTAATTGCCCCTCGGGGACAAATAAAGTTTTTTTAATTGAATTGAATTGGAACATTGAAATGCTTATTGTCCTGTCTAACTCAGCGGCATTTGCCCAGAGGTGATTATTGAGGTGCCTCTTTTAAACATGATGATCCTATGCACAAAAATGTAAGGAAATGCATGCAAAAAAGCAAGTTTTTACACAGGGTTTGTCATTCTAAAATGCCAAATGCAAAACATTTAATGGCCCAGCATAGTTTCCTACATAGCACAAGTTCATTGCATTGGTTAAGCAAATCTCCAGTGCTGCTTCTCATCCATGTGCTTTATTTGTTAAAGATTATTTTTGTGTGTAGCATGTTTCATGTAAATACAGTTGTCTATGTTATTAACAAATTATTACAACATTTCATGAAATTTATGCAGTATGACACGTGACTTGAACCTGGTCTTGGACCTGTGGAAATATGTCCACCCAACATGCGGTCAGCCTCTCTAGGAGCATTGTGATATCAGAGCATCCCTGTGGAATCTAATTCAGGCAATTTGTTAAATCTTCCAGAACTTCTGCATGTTAAATTTGTTCAGCATTTACAGAACCTACAATTGTAGTTTCTGGAAGCACATAAACTTGTGGTAACAAAGTGGTAACACAACAATGGTTTACTCTTTAATTTTAGTTTTCAAAATGCAGTATACACTGTCCTCAACTTATGACTGGGTTCTGTTCTGACAGACAGCTTCTGCGTCGAAATGGACGTATGTCAGAATAGGATCATCACACTGACTTTTAGGTGTGAGAATTAGACTGGAAGATGTGTATGACGCTGGCTTGGCCATGCTGCAATACAGTATAGTATTTTCCATGGCAACTGTCATACAGCGCTGCTGGGTGTACTGCTGGGCCATCCAAAATGTATTTTTGAAAACATTTACATATATTTTTTTAGTCGTATGTTAAGTCATTGTAAATTGCATAGGATGTAAGCTGGGAAAGTCTGTGTATGTTTTTTCCAGCTTGGAAGTGGGAGATCTGTGATAAGTTTCCCTGTATCCAAGTCATGGACGGAATCATAACATGATGTGATAACATAGCACAGCACAGCAAGGAATGTGGAGGATAAAACAATGTGACTGATAGTCAAGATTCCATCCTTATTTTCACACGAAGTCTTGAGGAAACAGATGTTTCCTTTAAATCAGAGCTAGGCAAGCTCTGATTTAAGCTATTAGCTATTAGTTAAGTTCTCCCCAAACGAGCTTGATGGGCCAAATGGCCTCCTCTCGTTTGTAAATTTCTTATGTTTCAGTGACTGCAGTTATATATCTTAAAGACCTAGTAGCTTTTTGTTTATGCAGCCAAAAACCCAGAATTTAGCTTTATCTTAGAGCAGAGCTTCTGTATGGATGGGACATAGTTTTAATTTGGTTTTATTGTGGTTGCTTCCAGGATAGTGTTCTCCACACCCCTTGGGATTGTCTCCTACGTTATGCTCTGGTACACACCTCAGCAAACCATGTCTCCAACATTCAGCTTCATCTGGTATTTCACCATGTGCTGCCTCTTCGATACCTTTATGAGTGTGAGGCAATCACCGTCCATCGTCTTCTGTTTTCCACATGTCCCTATGTAGAAGACACTTAGCCCTATTTATCAGTTACTGACTCAATAGATATCCTTCATAAAGCTGAAAAATACAGTTTTAGTGATACAACCACTTCTTCTTTAGCGACTACCTTGGTTAGTGACCATTCACAAACATGGTGATAATAAAAAAAATATTCCAACCCGTGCACACATTTATGACCAAATTTTGTATGGCTTCCAACAATGCAAATCGGAGTGAGAGAGGTCTTTGAATTAGTTTGTACAAAAGGTTAAAAATGTCCAATTTATAAAGAATAAAAGAAATTAAGTATGGAAGGCTGAAGTCGTAAGCACAATCATGGTCACAGCTAGGCTACCGTAATTTTCACTTAGTGATCATTTCGCTTAATCAAGGAGTGGTTGTATTCCAATGGTTACCACATTGTTTTGCATCCTAATTTACAAATGGTATGTTATTATGTGTATACATTTTGTTGGTTTTACACTGTCAGTCTATTGTGTTTTACTCTTATCTTCACAGTGTTACCATGTCCCTTACTCGTCCCTCAACATGTTCCTAGGGGGGAGCCAGAAAGACCGAGACTCAGCCACGGGATACAGTATAATGCTTTTGCTTTCTTTTCATTTCACTGTTACTTTTTGGGACGCCTCCATAAAATAAGAGCATTAATCCACATCTGTGCAATGTGAGAATTACGATAGAGGCTGACAGATGTTTGACTGGCCTGATTTAATGTTTATTCTTTGGATAGCCTATACCTTACTCCACCCCTGAGACTAAGGTTAGTTTTGAATTTTTGCATACGTTCCTTTAATTGTGTTCTACCTTTATGGAGCCCCTAGTTTTTCAGGACCTACTTGCCAATTTTTTGCTTAGTTCATTGTATCATCTTTGAACGTTTTATGCTAAAATGGAGTAATGCAAACATAAAGCTGTAATTATGCGCTGTTTGCCTTGTTATCAGGAGACAGTCCTATGTTTGCCGGGCCCCGTCCTCAGAGTCTCTTCCCATTCGCATTACCTTATCATGGGAAGGTGGGCCAGCTCCTGTTCACGAAGTGAGAGGAACAGAGCCATCAGTTGTGAATGATCCTGCATTAGCCTGCATTTCTGCAATATACCTGAAAGTCTGTTTTTATTGAATTCACATTATATTTATTGACTGTTACTTTCCTTTTCGAAAAGAGTATTTTCTTTTACCCAACAGGAATGGGTGTGGAAGTGTTGTCCGCGTTAGCTGGAGCAGGCATTCAGGGTCAAATTGTGGGGGTTTATCACGCCAAGAAGGCTCACGCTTGCAGCCAGCTGAACCACAGCGAACCTTCACAGCACAACATATCTTCAGGCATCAGTGATACTCTGCAGGAAACAGTGAGGGGCCACCATCTTGGTCTGAGTGAAGGTTTCCAACAAATCCACACAAAGAATCAAAGCGACGCATAAATGTTATCTGATATCAGACCTAATGATTTTCTGTTTTGTTTGGCTAAATGTTGTAACAAACAAATGACAGATACTAACACAAATGGCTTAACACTAATTGTAAATAATACATGCCATCTTTCTCTTTATAAAAAAATATACTAATGGAGTTGGTCGTTCAGTTATGACTGTATTAAGATGTTAAATTGGTTGGTGCAATATTGAATTTGCTGTAAAGATCATTAGTGATTTTAATGGCTAATTTGCTGGGGCTGGGACGGGGACGGGGACGGGGGGGGCTTTGTAGTTGTTGCTTCACAGGATGTTGGAACTCCCAGAAAGGGATTGATAATTGATGATTTTTATATGATAAGACCCATAGTTCTCACCAGTTGTACTTTTTTCTAGTGTCAAACAGTTTCAAAATGACACTGTAGCAGCCAAGTGTAAACTATTTGCATTTATCGCAAGCATGTGGGTTGTTTTTAGATTTGAATTTTAAATTTGACTTTGAATTACATACCAATTTCCATTTTGTTTTATTCTTGCCCCTGTGACATTCAGAGGAGGGCCTATGTGATTGCTGCTGTAATCATGGGGATGCTCTACCTCCTGTGCTGCATGGTGCTATTCCTGGGTGTCAAAGAGCAGCTTGGTAAGTCTGGGGGGTGGGTGATAGGAAAAGGGTATGAGGGGCTGCTTGTGCCTTTGGGGGAAGGAGTTAAATGAGGCACGTTTGCTTACGAGGTGCAGGACAATGCTGGGTTTCCTAACAGCCAGCTCGGCCTTCACAGTGTTAGAGTGCAGACCTGTTCGAAAATTGAAATGAGTGCATCTGATTCTGCTAGTCAGTCACATTGCTTTGCTCAGATGTGCTGCTGGAGCATTAGAAATGTGGACTGATCTGGGAGGGATATTTTATCGGAAACTGTAAACAAAATCTAGTGTAGTCAAGTATGTCCCATAAATCAAGCAAAATAAAGTGCAATAAGGTAAAAATAAAAACTTTGGATGGATGTAGATTAACATGGTGAATAATTTTTATTTTGAATCAAGTCTTCTCCAGACAAATACAAAAGTGTAACAAAAAGTATGTCCAAAACTGTCATGACCTGCTCGTATGACCCTCTCATGTGCTAGAGGCTTCTTACTTGGTCCAGCTCCCCTATTCATTTTTATACCCTTTCTTAAGTTTAGTAGAAATAAATTGGAGGCTAACTAGGCGACTCGGTAGCTTGCAGCAGCTGGCGCGGTTGAACGCGTCATCCATCCTCTATTTTTTTATGCCATACGATCTACCCACACTACCTTTGCGATCGACCAGTAGATCGCAATCGATGTATTGGGCACCCCTGGTGTAAACCATGTATACGTCGGAGTGGAACATGAAAACAATACTGGAACAGGCCAGAAAAGAAAAATGCATGTATTTATGCGGTCACATCGATGCATCGGATCGTTTGCCGTTGAATCGATATATCGATACAAATCGATGTATTGTTACACCCCTAGTCAATATCCAGGTATTTTAACAGGTAGTCAATGGATATGCACATTATTTTACTCAGTATTAATAAAATCGTGTTTTTTAAAAAGTCATGTTTTTCCTTGGGCAACTTATATTACCTTATAAAGGTAAGAAAAATAACAGTTTTGTTTATTTCTATTTTTATTGCTGCTTATTTGTTTTTTCTTCAATATTTCTCTCACCTCACGCCAAGTTGTGTGACCTTCAGTTCTAGCGCAGTCGAAATTTAATACTGCAAGTCAGTATGAAATCTGAATTCTGTTGCTGCAGCTCCTCTCAGCACCCTGGGCCGACTTCGTATGCCATACTTGACCTGCTTGAAAATGGTGGTGAATCACACCCCCTACACCTGGCTTATTTTTGGGTTCCTTTTTTCGTCCCTGGCTTTTCAGGTAATTTCGTACGAAGGAATCAGGTGTGTAAATAGAGCCTCTGTTAAATCCTGATAGTTAATACAGAAGGAGGTATTAACACAGGTAGGAAATTGTAATAAGAGTCAAGTTGGTTTCCAGGTGTAGTCAGTGGATTTCGTTAATGGATGTCTTACATGTTTAAATCTCTATTTTGTCCAAAATAAACCATAAAAACACCTTACCCTGTACTATATCACAGTATGGTGATGAGTGTGACATGCTAATGATGAGTAACATAATGATCAACATGATAACAGCATCCTATAATCTTCCTCTGCCTGCTTTTAACACTGTGGCCCCTTTACAGATGGCTCAGGGGAATTTTGCTTTGTTCAATACCCATGTTGCTGGTCTGGGGGCCTATTTCCAGCACCTTGTCCTCATCCTGCTGGTAAGTACTCTCCAACCACAGTGGTGTTATCTGAGATAGCTTTTAGCCAAAACTGCATTGTGGTCACCCTTCATGTGTACTGTGCTTTAGGCCTGCTGCTGGAGCATTGCTTTTACTTGTAGGACCAGTATTCTGCTTTATGTTGCATGGTGGTGATGGCTTAATGGAAGGCTCTTCAAATAATCAAAGTTAATGGATAATTTAAAAGCGATTGAAAATGACTCAACTCCTATCTCTCAGTTTGACTTCCCAGAAGTTATTGTACTATGACAGTTATAAAAAGCTTATTTCTGTGAATTTGCTTAGCATATCCACCGACACCTAATGGCACGTCATTGAGGGAGGTGGTATAATACAGAGCTTGTTGTGTGTAGGACATGATATGAAAATTGAGTGGCCTTACCGTCACTCATTCCTGGTACAGTACTTCACGGAAGGTGCAATGTAAGGCAAAAATTGTCAGACACTTATAACACTGGCCTATGGTCTTTTTGTATAGCTTTCTCTCCTTAGAAAATACATTACTGCAAATTTATCTAAAATAATTGAGAGTATTCATTGTTTTAGGTTAGCTAAACAACAACAGGTACTAAAACTCTTCAGCCTTGAGTAACAAGAGAGAGAAATATATTAATTGCTTAGCAAAAATGATTCGGTGACGTTACCTTGAAATATGAAGCTAATATGTATTTTGGCAGGTGTTGGACTGGAGGAATCCCATTAATGTGAAGCTTAGGTACAGGAGAGTGGTTTTATATAAAACGAATCATATAATGTTGTCTTGGCCCCCACAGAACAACAAAAAATATGTCCAGAAAATCAATGGTTATTGGTCTCAAAGAACCCTCTACTAGAACTCTGCATGAAGGAATTAGACCTGGAGATAAACAGACTTTTTGTGTGCGTGTGCATGAGCTCCAGCTGGAGGCTGGAAGCCCACACGGGTACCCCCAGTATCGGTAGGCCTGGGCTAATTTCCCCTCCGAAGATATACCAGTCTAGACAACATCAAAACATACAGTCACACTCACACTTACATGCACACTTACATCCACTTTACATGGGCAAAGTAATTGAAGAAGGCCTACAGGAAGAGACTGGAATAGAGACCTGACAGGGTATGTGAACTCATATGATTTCCCTCATCTCATGTGCCAGTAAACTTGTGTTAAAGATCGTCCAGTGCAGATTACCACCCTACATAGGAAGTGAATTGTCCAGTGCAGATTACCGCCCTACATACAGTAGGAAGTGAATTCTCCCGTGCACATTACCACCCTACATAGAAAGTGAATTGTCCAGTGCAGATTACAGCCCAACATAGGAAGTGAATTGCCTGATGTATGATTCAGGAAAAGCTGAGGAACGAGTGTGTCAGTACCTGATGGATAATCAAAAAACAAAGGAATAGTGGGAAGATGTCAAAATTTTATTAGTTGCAACAAATCCTATAACTCTTTTAGTTTAAGGAATGTTCATAGGGAAATGGGTGTACAAGGGCATCTTACTGTCTTTATTAAGAATTTCTACACTGGACAAGAAGCTACAGTTGGAATGGAATATTAAGAAACTGATTGGTTTCAGATCAGTGAAAGAGATATAGAAGCATGCATGCTATTGCTATGCTCCATTTAAATTTGTATACAGAACATATAAGGAAAGAAGGGAAAGAAAATTGTGTATCACAGAAGAGAAAGAGGATCTGAAGATACTCAAAATAAAAGTTACAAGATGAAACTACAGCAAGATACAGCAGGAAGAAAACAAAGGTCATGACCCATGGGATCAGCAGCTAATAGTACTAATATTCCCAGAATTTGTTGTGTAAGACCTGTTGGTACATCCTTATTGTGAAAGTGGATTGAGTGGCAGGGAATGGTTTGTTTCAGATATTCATACACTGTATGGGCAACTGTATGCGAATACCAGCTTTTGAAACGTCTTATTCCAAAATCAACGGTATTAATATGAAGTTGGTCAACCCTTTGTTGTTGTAATAGCCTTTCCATTAGATTTGCCATTCAGGTTAGGGTGACCAGACAATCCATGTCAGGGAGGACACTTTGAGCTACTTCGGGTTTTACAAACTACTTTCTAATTGAAAGGCTCCTGTGCTCGGCTAAATAGTTTAGGTCTTCTTGTGCTTTGACTGGTTTGTTTCCTTGACTGAAAGACTCATCCAGCTGTTTCACATTAGCATTAGTGACACATGCATGATTATAGGAGACTGACCAATCAGCACACAGCAAGAGCTGAGTGCTCAAGTGAAATCCAGGTCCGCTTAATTGAAATGGTAATTTACAATTCCTGTCCTAGCTCAGAGTGTCCTCCCTGACATGGATTATCTGGTCACCCTAATTCAGGTTGAGTATTAATATTGGCCTATCAGGTCCCTTTCTGGGAGGTTTTGTGGCTGCCACTTTGCAACTGAACTTGCTCCCAGATATTACGACTTCATAATCACTTAACTTACGGTTGAGCAGAACTAGCAGGACAGAAATGTGGTAAACTGACTTGCTGGAAAAATGGCGTCTTAGGATGGTGCCAAGTGGAAATTCCTCTTCTGTACAACCACCCATTCTGCTCTTTATATTTCTTGGAGGCATTGCGTGTTAGTGTGCTTAATAATAAATATTACACCTCTGTCAACAATAGGTGTAGCTTAATTAGGCAATTCCTCCAACGAATACGAATGTCCACATACATGCAGTCTGTGTATCAACAACATGTATTTCACGCTAGGCCAAATAGGCTGTATAATCAAATACAAGGACGTGGGGCTTGTGCCAAAACATCTATTAATATCACAATAACTGTGACTGATCCATTTTTTGAAAGGAACAAAAAAAAGTCCTTTCCAGAAACATGCAATTTTTTTTTTTAAATTTTTAAAAAAATGTGTATATTTAGGTTCAGATAGTTGTACTGTTTGATTGTAGCCCGTTTCCACTGTTCTTTTGTATGCAGAGTGCCTCTACACTGTCTATTCCAGTATGGCAGATGCTTCTTCTGAGACTTGGCAAGAAGACCACTATCTTTATTGGGCTGTCGGTCAGTTAGTCTTTTCTATAGCATGAGATCTTTATAGAGTTATTCTATTACACTCAAAAATTTAAAGATATTTAAGATACTTAATTCAATAAAGCATGATTAAACTTATTTCCATGCTGGAACTTCAGATATTCTCAGCCACCATTCCAAGCTTAAGCCTTGATATATTCTGTAGATATACATCCCAACTCTGATCATCATTGCCTCTGTGAAGACCCACCTCCCAACCTACATCCTCATGTCCACCCTAGCTGGATCCAGTCTTGCAGCATTATACTTGCTTCCCTGGTGAGTTCTTCCTCTTCAGCATTCACTGAGACACTCCTCCTGTCTGGGCTACATGAAAATGACCTGGGAATTTCCCCACATCTGATATTTACATTCACAGTCACTTATTCAGATTATGGTTTACCCATTTATGTTGCTAGCAGTTTGCATTCCTTGCCTAAAAACATAATTGAAGTTTCCTTATTACATTTTTGGATTTTGATTCTTTTTATTCTTAAGTTTATTTTGCTTTATTCTCTAAAGTATGTTAAAAATTCTAGTAGTGTGTTTCAAGGTTGGGTTATGGATTCATCAATCCATTTTCTGTACCCCCATGTCCAATTCAGGGTCACGGGGCTTCCAGAGTCTATGGGTAAACCCAGGAAGGGTGCCAACCCATTGTAGAGTACACTCACATACCATTCTCATCTAAGGGCAATTTGGTAACTCCAATTTAACATACCATCACAACACGGGGAGAACATGCAAACTCCACACACCATGGTGGAAATTGAACCTTAGTCCCAGAGGTGTGAGGCAACAGTGCTAAACACTGCGTCCCCAAACCACCCCTGTTATGGATTGAAATAACACAAATACTTGAAGTAATTAAGCGGGAAGAATTGGTTGGATTGAAAGGAGTCAGATATGCTTTTAAAATTTTAGAAACATTGGGCCTCATTCACCAAACGTTCTTATGAACAAATTTGTTCTTAAACCCCACGTATGCACTTTTTAACGAAGATTCTGACATTCACCAATGTTTTCTTATATGAATTTGTTCTTAGCTAAGAACAGAATCTAAGCACACTCAAGACCATTCGTACGCACATTTGAGTAATGATAGTTTGTTCAAAATAATCGGTTATAGCAGTTTTGTTCATTCTTCAGTTGATAAAATTATAGTATTTGAATAATTTATAAAAGTAAAATATAAAAAATAATTTTAAAGTGTAAAAATTATTTTCATGGTAGTAACGGCAATCATGCGGATTTTAAATAGGCCTGTTTCTGCGCATTGGCCTTGCTATCAAAATAGCATTTCTGTTACTTCTTGAAGAGCTTGACAATCGTGCTCTGAGAAGGGAACGCATGTTATTTAGATTTATTTGGTACACAGCATTCACAGAGAAGGTGATATCTTTCCATGTGTCAGCTTTCTTGGGGGCTTTATATCCATTGGTTAGGCTACTAAATAACGTGTGTCTATTTGCATTTACCTCCTGTACAGTAAAATCCAGTTATAACGGACTTCAAGTGACCTGGCAAAACAGTCCATTATATCCAAGGTCCGTTATATCCATAGTTGCTGTATGCCCAGAACACAAATAAAGGACATCATTTAATCATGCCACACCCCAGCAGACATACTTATGATATAGACTATTATATTGTACATGTAGTAATCCAACTTTACCTGATCAGATGCGTGACTATTAATAATCCCGACTCCGTATCTGCGCTGGATATCACCGGCACGCCACGCGCCTTGTCGGCGGAGCTGCATGTCCGTTATAGCCGAACAAAACTACAGCTAAAAGCGGCGCTGGGGACTAAATTGTTTGTCCGTTATAAGCGAAATTCCGTTAAATGCGAGTCCGCTATATCCGATACTTTTTCTGCATGTTCTTAAATACGCACGGCCGGGACCAGCGGACCTCGTCCGTTATAGATGAGATTCCGTTATAAGCGAGTCTACTATATTGGGATTTTACTGTATTAATACTTCTACTTCAGCATTACTGAAGTTTTTTTTCCCCTCTTATTGCCAAGCGGCTCACAACCTGCGTGCCTCTTCGCCATTCCTTGCACACGCTGCCTACAGTCTCATGCCCTTTTATGGGAAATTGCAGGGCGTTTCCCTATTTAATTAGGGCAAATTGGTACGCGCTTTCAGTTACGAAGACGTGGGATTCACCATTCTTAAGAACAAAGGTGTGAACAATTCTGCTACTTAAGAACACGTCATGAATCCGACGTAGGTTGTTCTTAACAAATTTCGCAGGAACAAATTTAAGAGAATTCTTAAGAAAATATTGGTGAATGAGGCCCATTGTTACTTGGTTCATTTAGTTTTAATAAATAGTTAAAAATATCGTAATTTAGTAATTTGCAAATTTGTTTTATTTCATGGTTATCAGGCTTCTGATGTTAGAGCCATTTACCAAATAATTTACCAGATTTGTTCATAAATATTCACCTTCTGTTTTGAGAGCAATGTCATAAACAGAGAAAAAAGTGTTGGTGGACATAGTGGTGTGAAAGTTGTTTGAGTCATGTTCAAAAGAAATTACATATTAATAAACATTAAGAAGTACTTTCCTTATTGCAGAAAAAAAGAGGTTGAAAAATAAATATATTTTTAAAAATGGTAGTGTCATAACCATTGCAGGCGTAGAGGAAACTACACCAGTTCCCGTAACATCTAAAAACCGATAAAATGGGGAAGTTTGTGCATTTTATATTTAGCCATTTACAAACAAGTAATGTGTGGAAATCTAGATGTTACTTAAAGAGGAACTCGAAACAATGCAGCTTCAACTTGCGCATTTTCAAGACTATGGGAAGTTTTAAGCCATATACAGTTTTACACATCTTACAACAACCCTGCAGTACAGCCTATTCCTTTTAGTTGTTGAATCTGGGTTATGGAGGCCCCTAAAATCTGGGTGCTCTGGTTCTGTCTAAGCTCCATGCATTAGTGGATCATTTATGTGGTAGTTATGGACAACTGGGAAACCTGCAGGGCTGCTGTTATTAAGGGCCAGGTCTTATGCTTAGGCATTTATGTAACAGATGTCTGACTCACCATGATGATGTAATGGACGTGTGCTGCTTTTTTTTAAAGCACTGACTCATTTCAACTTAAGGATTGAAGACCCAGCCTCCAGGCATCTAATTCAAGAACCCTTCTGATTTAGAGTGTCTCTGCCTTTCAGGTCAATGCTACCAGATGTGGTTGATGACTTCAAAGTGAAGCACCCAACCTGCAAGGACCTGGAGGCCATGTTCTATTCCTGCTTTGTGTTCGGCAATAAGTTTGGAGGGGGCATGTCAGTTGGGATTTCCACCCTGGCTTTATAGTGAGTTGAAATTTTTCTTTTCATTTACATCAGTCACATTTCCTCAGCTGTTTTGAGTATGACCGAAAAGAACACTGAGGCTTCAAGGCACAAGGCCATCAATGTTAATTCAGCATAATAATTGCTCCAATTTAGCTTCGAGTAGAACTTGGAAAAACCTCAAGGCATCTCAGATCAGCATCTTAGGTTACAGTTGTTCTACACAGTAATCCCACCTTTTGTGTTATTATTATTAGGGTGGTATTCTACAGTGTAGTGCAACAAATTAGTTGTACACTGTTTACTATACTTTATATAACATGGTATTCACTATGCAGCCAAAGTACTCACAGTCAATGTACTTTTACATTATAGTAAAAATCCATCTTAAGTTTTGCATCATTTCACATGCCATCTACAGTCACCAACACAATTGGTGAATTTATAGTACAACAGTTAATTATTGGGAGTGCAGAAATAAACTGAAATTCACAAATTACTGAAGAACTTAAGAAATATCCATCCCATATGGCTGAAAAGCCCTGTAGGTATTGGTGTGTAAATGTTTCATTCACAATACAACACAAGACATAAGGTGGTAAGCAATCGAGGCTTTGTTCAATTTGTATAAAACAACTGATGAAAACAGACAACATGAAGCCCAGCTGTGGTTCACTGAAGTTTATGATATGAGAAATTAAGACATCGGGAAATGAAGAAGATTATTAGTAAAGCCAAGCTACTAATAAGATACTATAATGATTAGTAAAGCCAAGCTACTAATAAGATACTATAATGATGAACCAAATGGAACTGCTCTGCTGCACTTCTGTGCGCATGTTTTTTTAACACGACTACTGCTTTGCTGTTTGCAAAGTTTTGTCGGGTACGAGCCGGGTGCCTGCAAGCACAACGACAGGGTGATCACCACATTGCGGGTACTTTTTGCTCCGGTGCCCATTGTGCTTTTGCTGGTTGGGATGCTGCTCTTTTACTTCTACCCCATCAATGAGGAGAGGCGCCAGCAGATTCAGAGGGAGCTGGAAGAAGCAGTGTGAGTCCACTTTTACTAAGACTTAACCTGCAAATACTGAACAGAAGCATATTATTTAGTTACAGCAACCATCACCTGTATAGTAGGAGCATGGATGAATGAACTGAATCAACTTACCTGTTCAAATATTTTACAACATCAAAGATCAGTGTTACACATTCTTAAGTATGAAGTTGTTTTGCAAGATAGAAAGGACGAGAGTAGTATTTTCTAATATCTTTGTAGGGTCATGGATTTTAAAAGATTTATTGTATGAACTGGTCTGGATCTGACTGGGAGGTATGATCTGTGTGTTTTACCATACCAATCTGTACCGATGTTCTATGCTTTTGTGCACCATCTTCCCCAACAGAAAGGTGAATGCAAACTTGGATCAAATCAGCATTGAGGCCACCCCAGACCCATCCAAATCAAGTCCCAACTAGAAGCCTTTCTGCTTTGTTTTATGAAAAGCAGACCTCTGTAAGCCTCTGTCTTTGAAAAGCCAAATGGATGAAACGTACCTTAGACAAAATATGTATGTCTCTCTGTATGTATTACATAGTACAGTAAATATCTGTTTGTTTAATATAACATGATAAATGATTTTGTATGGTATTTCCCATATACAGTCGTGGAAAAAATTAAGATACCACAGCACAATTTTTTGTTTCACTCATTTCTTAATTTATGGGTGTCCGTCTGTGAATAATATATATTTTTCTGCAAACTGCTGTCTGGTTCTACCCTGTTTCTCATTAACGAATGGCTTCTTCCTTGCTCTATGGGACCTCAGTCCTGCTCCTAGGAGCCTGATACAAACTATCCTAGCAGTGCACCTCACATCTTCACTTGATGTCATCCTTTGATTTATGAGAAACTGTCAGATAAGTCAACGATCATCTCTGGCATTAGAATGTCGCTTCCGCCTTTTACCTGGCTGGTTTCTGGTCGTTCCCAGTTTCTCCTGCTTCACCTTATTTTTCTGTACTGCTGTCTTAGAAATTTTGAACCTGAAAGCATCCTGCTGTTTAGCGTAGCCTTCTGCCAGCAGAACCACAATTGAACCAGATTTGTTTAAAAATTGGTCTCCTAATTATTTCCACAACTGTATGTATTATGACCTGGGACACACGGTTACTAAGTGATTAGCATTATTGCCTCACACCTCAAAGACTGGAGTTGAATCCTGTGTGTACACGGATCCTTTGCGTATTCTGGGTTCCTCCAATGTCACGCAGTTAGGTCAGTTGGTTGTTGATAGTGTATGATAGCCCATGTGTGCTTTGTCCTTTGCTGCCTGAGCTCCCTTTGACCCTGTGATGTAAGACAAATGGGTGGATGCTGTTACATGTAACTTTTTTTGCAAAGAAAACAATGAACAGGTGTTTAATACAGACCTGAACCTTTTAAAGTGCATAGACACGCTAATGATGCCATTTTGAGTAACATTTTTTTATGTAACTTCAGCAATAAAATTAAAATTTAAATAGTGTTATTGGTTTCTTATTGTGAACTTAGCAATAAATAAATGACGCAGTATCAGAATACAATACAGCATATGGAATCTGTACTTGCCTAACGGTAACATTGCTATGCAGTTAAAAAAAAAAAAAAAAGGAGGATAGTGCCATCTAATGGCTACGGACGTTTTGTGCAGCCTGTTAACTTCAGATAAAAGGAAGACTAAACAGAATTTCTCTTCTATATAACACATCTTCCTTTTTCTAATATCGACAACTGCTTTTAGATCTATGGTTATGTTAGTACTCGTTGGACACCACATGTCCCAGGATTTTTACATCGGTTGAAAATCGTAATACTTTTCCGATGAACCTTCGCTACGCCGCAAGCAGCGGGGTCGCGGAAGGAGTCGCGGCCGATCACGTGGGAGACTCTGCAAAGAGCTGGAAGCAGCTGCATTTCAGTGCTACGTTGCAGGAAGCGTGTGCTGACGGAAGGCTAGATCCGCAAACGATATGGGCGTCGAGATCGAGACAATAACCCCCGGCGACGGTAAAGTGATTTTACGTCTCCCCTTTATGTTTTTCAAGCTTAGACGAATATTGAAATTTTATGTTTGCATTTTAGAGCGCCTGTTATTAACAGGTTTTCTTGTCCGGTCTTGGCGTTGATTGCGCATTTTTTTTCAGGACGGACTTTTCCAAAAAAGGGGCAGACGTGCGTGGTGCATTATGTCGGTAAGTTTAGTTTATGATTTTAATGCTTGCAGTATTGCTTCAAATCAAGTTAATCGGGGCCTTACTGAGATATATTTCTAAAGGTTTCGCACCTGTGTTTTGATAACATCGATGGAAAACCTTGTATCTTTTAGAGGGACGATGCGCGGTGGTTTTCTAGGTTTGCATCCGTGTATGAAAACACATTCTGACAGATCTGCTATTAAAACTTAACATTAGGAGCTCTACAGCATTATATAGCAATACTCCCTTTTGAATGACCATTCTGTTAACCTATACTATATTGTGTTAAGAAACACAATATACAAGGGAAATATTTCAGATGAAGGCTGCGCAGCTATCTGACTACTCTTAGTACTGAGTTGGTTTTCTAACTGGTTAGTAGGAATCAATTAATGTTTGGACGTGGGTCACATAGAGCTCAACCCTTGCATTTGTTCTGAGCCACATGGCTACTCCGACGCTATAGCGGTAATGAAGAATAATTGAAACTGGACGGATACCTGTCACTGGCCAAATGGAACATCATATTATCCTGTTTGAGTTTCATTTAGTTTAATATACTGCATTCCGCGTGTTTAGTTGCTAAATAACCTAGTGGAAATTTTATTCTGGACAGTCATCTCAAAGTTGGCAGCATCGATGTAATTTTTAAATATCAAGCGCTGGCTTCTATGCATAGAATTAGTTCCAACTTTTTGTGCTTGGACGTCTATCCATCCATCCGTCCGTCCTTCCATCCATTCATTTTCTATATTTGCTTAATTAATGCTGTTGGCACTTTTAAAATACCAAATTATGAAAACGACAGCGTTTCCCTTGGGTACGCGTTCTTGAACTGCAGACTGCTACATGTGCATTACCATTTTTACGGCTAACCTCGGTACGGAGCAAGACACACAGACCTGTCATGTATTACAATGCGAGAAGCTTTTTTTTTTTAACTTAAAATGTAATTGATTTCTAACGTATGATTTTTTTATTGCGCTATTTTTTGTATGCAGCAGTGCATCTTAAAGACATTGAATGGTAGTCGAATAAAAACTGTTTACGCCACGAGATATATGTAATATATGATTAAGACGTCCCGTGGCTCTGTTGTGTAATGTAGGCATGATAATCAGATGTACAACATAAGATCACATTTAAAGTGCAATCAGATAGCCCCCATGACAAGATGACAATGCATTGACTGCTTTTTTTCCCAATAGTTTTTATTACAAGATGGAGGAGTTTTCTTGCATCTGAGGTTGCTGTCGGTCATGTTTTTCATATTTTGCATCGAGAATCAGTTATCACAATGGCTAAAATGTCTTAATTTCATTGAGTCTTTGGCCAGCTGGGCTCCTATGAATAAAGACACAGGTAAAATCTGACATTTTGTGTGACTTTGACCTGTTTGACACTGTACTGTTTGTGAGCACGCTTACATTGCCCCAGTTTGGAAACACAGTTAGCAGGAGCATGATTTGCTTTGACAATATCTTACAACAGCAGAGGATTTTGGAGAAAAATTACAGATTTAAAATCTTTCCATTTCCATATCACAGGTTCTCTTACTGATGGACGCAAGTTTGACTCATCCCGGGATAGAGACAAACCCTTCAAGTTCATGATCGGGAAGCATGAAGTTATCCGTGGTTGGGAAGAGGGAGTAGGGCAGGTACAGTTATTTTAGGAAACACACAAGCTCTGGGGTGAAACAGATTTTTGAACAAACCTTTGGTGTTGAAAACAAAAACTTCCTGCATCTGCTTTGAACAGTCCTAGTTCATCAGTTGCCAGTGGTTAGTATTAATATCCAACACTGTATGCATTGTGGCTGTGAGGCTGAGTTGCAGTCATCTTTTGCTAGCAATACTTCTTGCTTTGAGTTTTAACTGACACGATACACGACAGCAGGATTTTGGTGGTCCTAATGTGATTTTGGATGCATAAACTCTAACTTCCCCTCCACTTTGTCCTTGCAGATGAGTGTAGGCCAGAGGGCTAAACTGACTTGCTCCCCTGACTATGCCTATGGACATAAGGGCCACCCAGGAATCATTCCGCCCAATGCCACTCTCATCTTTGATGTGGAGCTGCTTGGCCTCGAGTGATCCTACCCCACAGCAGTGCTTCTTTGTTTTTGGTAAGTATTGCTCTATAAATGCTGGATGTCTTATTGCTTGTGCCAAATATGATTGTAACATGGTCATACAAGCAGGATTTCAGGTTCATGCTGAAGAATTAAAACTACTTCTGCATTCTCTTTAGGAATTATATAAGAAGCACATTCAGAAAAGTATTTGCACTGCCAGTGGTTGGTGGACTATATGTTAAAATTTCCAAAAAGCTCATTGGTGATGGGCTGTGTGCCTCTAGAGCACTGTGTGTGGAATTCTATTCTCTCCCTGTTCACATGGGTCTTATAAGGGTACCTTGCACACAAGCAGTCTGCTTAGATAAAATGGACACTGTACATTTGTCTGACTAAATTCTCAGCTAGGGAACACAAGCCATTTCTAAATTTAAGTGAATCAATATCAGATTATTTTTACTGTCACTGCAAGTAACAGCCCATTTTTGTTCATTATGAGGCTGTAACAGTAGCATAAGACAGCAATTGTCTGTGGGCAGAGGTCCAGGTAATGTTCTCAGTCCATATTTTAACCTCAGGCATTATTAGTGAAAATTTGAAGCTGGCAGTGGACCAGCCTTTAAAGCAGATTCCACCTCCACCGTAAATGTGTGTCACCGATGTGAGTAATGTGAGTTCTCTGTAAATGTATTTCGGATGTGTCTCTCTCTCTTTCTGGCAGGTTGCCTCCTGTCTTGGGAACATGAGAGATAGGAGTTTGTGCTCTTGATTCTGTTACAGACTTCAGTCTATAGCTCCATTCTGGTCACATTTACTCACATAAAGTATGTATTTGCAAACAAATTTTGTTTTCCAAACATTCTTAATTTTTACGTATTTTGTGCCATAACTTCATTCACCTCAAAATTCTTGATCTTGAATTTAAAGTTCTTTTCTTCTTGCTTTGTTTTGTGAAATTAAGTTTTGTGTGATTAGGTGTATACCAGTTACAGTGATAAAAGGAAAAAGTAGATTGTAAACGCTTCTAGTGAAATTTTAAAACAATGAAAAGCACCGTTATTTTGCTTGTAGGAAAATGAGAGATTAGTTGTGTTTTTGAAAACAGAAATATGATCTGTGATTATTATTTTCATACACTTATGATATGAGGAACAAATTTGGGTCGAGGATATTGATATCTTGTCCTCCCCCCATTATTTTAAATAAACATGCCATTTTCTCAAATGCCAATGTTTATCTCTGAAATACTTATGTAATGAAAAATCTGTGTCACTAGAGGCACATCATCGTGTGCTTTCGGAGTTGCTGTGCGATGAGGCTGATGAATGTTTTATATTGTGTTTGAAAGAACCTCAAGTCAGTCATGAGATGCTGGTCATCGCTGCTCCCTGTTCTTCTGGTCTGGCATGAATGGCGTGTTATTGAGCTGTATATGTGTGTGCTAAATTAAACTGACGATAGAAATCAAAATATGTGG